CTTCACCAGGCTTGGCATTATCTGGTACAGTAACTCATGGCATCACCCTCTCCATTCACCTCCTCACATATCACAACATACTGAATCTTTAGTAATTTTTTTTTTTTGGTATTAATGTTACCCATTAATTATAATTCCTATATATTACTGAATGTAATGGCAATAGTTGTGACATAAACAACTACCGGTAGCAAAATTAAAATTATACCTGCAAATTGCAATATCATATGTACACCCTAAATGCATTTACATATACATAGCTTCATGTGGCTGAAGTGAAAATTTGGGGAAATGTGATGTTTTTAAAGAATTTAAAAAAATGAATTGAATTTTAAAATTTAAAATCTGGAGCCTCTCCTTTCTCCTCCCACTAAGCCTCACCCACTCACTCCACATTTTCAGCATTTTAAAGGGACACAGGCGAACATCACAGCCCATTTCTGCCAAAAGGCAGATGTTTGTAGAGCAGTGGTGTCACACACATCCTTAGGGTGTCACTGAATCCCCTGCGCTCCCCTAATGACACAACTGAAGCCTGGCTGTACTGAAAAATGCACTTGCAAGAAATGGCCTTCTCCCTCTTTAGCATATTCCTGTTTCATGACCAGAGCAGATCTAATGCAAGACAGTGCTAAAAAAGATTTTAGCACATTTATATTTAGCTGTTACATTGATATCCCACCCACCTCTCCTCCTAGGAACTCAAGAACTGTATATGGCTCTCCTCTGCTACATTTTTATCTCTGCAACATCAAGATGTGGCAGCTTAAGCTGAAAGATAGTGATGGGCTAAGTGGGTTTCAAGGCTCAGTCGGGACTTGAACCTGGATCTCATGAGGCCTAATTCACCACTTTAACCAATACATATATCATACTGATTCTCATTTTGCCAAATACAACAGTTTGGAGTACAAGAGTTTGTATAGGAGGCAGAAGAGTGGGCAATTTATATCACCTATTGGATGGATCCTGTTCTAAGGAAATGGCTTTAAACGCACATTCACTTTACTATAAAAGTTATGTGAACAGCTTAGGAGGCCTGAATTATAAAATTCCTGCTGAGTGCAGTTTCAAAATAAAATTAAATAAAGGTCCTTATTTTTAGGTCTGTAGAATAGGCATAAGTATAATATAATTACACTAGATTCATTAAACTCTAGAGTAGCTGTGTTACTCCTCCGGCACTATAGAAGCTGATATTTGCACAAGTATTTGTAGCCAGCATCCTAGTTCATTCGATGCTATAGTAGCGATGATAAATTCAGCCCAGAAGAGGGCAGTACTAAGCAATCTTTAAATGGTTAGATTATTCTTTTCTTTTTATGGACTACTTTGTGTTCACTGTTAGAAAGAAAGAAAGAAACCAATATTGTAGCCCTATTCAGTTCTAACCAATAACCTTTCTTACCACAAGAAATCATACCACAAGGTGCCACAAGATAATTTTTGGTATTGTGTGTGTGCATTCATGATGTTTTAACAACCTAACATGGCTACCTTCTGGTATTTATTGAAGGAAATCTTAGATTCCAGATTCAGATATCTAATCAGCATTGCTTCCAGACAGATTGTCAAAATAAATTGTTCAAATGTACAGTACTGTTCTCTCTCTTGCAAACTGCAAATTGAGTAAGAACAAACCACAATTTTCATTTTAAATATACAATGTAAATTAAGCTATATACATACAGATAAAAAAGTGAAATTAATTATGGTTTGAAAATCACTCTTAAAAATGCAATCCTATATTCATTTGTCTAGAGGAAACTTGACTACTAGGTCTTTCAGTATTTATGCAATTTGCATATTGAGCAACATATTAATTGTATATCCAGGTAGAACAGAACTTACTTTCCTTAGTAGGCAATGGATTTTTTTCTCTGGTTTCAGTTTTTTTCAGCTTGGTCTTATCAAATGTTTCAATTTCAGCAAAATCTGGTTTGTCAGACATGATGGATCCTGACAAAGAGAAGAGACACACACCCTTGGCTTTGTTAGCTAGTGCCATTTTACATCCCACATGCAGAACATTTAAAAACATCGCTGGATCACATCTTTTGTTAAGTCCAACCTAATATAAATGTTGTACATCAGAAGAGATCATGAATTTGTTATTTCTTTAAACAGAATAATGGAGACTAATAAAAGAAAACTCTTGCATTAATGCTGAAACAAATTGATCAACATTTCTTATGATACAAAGAAATACTTTTTAAAATGGAAAGTAAAATGCTGATACATAACAATCTGGGTTTTGCTTTTTATCTAGAACCTCTCTGAACAATGAATTTATACAATATTGTCTGTATTAAGATCAACACCTCCCAGTTTCCTTAATACCACAAAAACATCAAAATAAATGTTTGGATTAGCAACAGT